GGGGTGTGAAGAGTGGCCGCATAGGTACACAGCCACAGGGGCCTGGACTGGAGAGGAGCCTCTTCCCCAGCTCCGGAGCTGCTGCGGCCAGGGACAGGCACCTCTCCCCTGGCCCTGGCCCCAGCCGTGGATCTGTCATGGCAGAGGAAAGGTGCCTCTCCCCTGGCCTCAGAGGTACTGCAGTGGGGAAAGAGGCACCTCTCCCCTGACCCCAGGCTGCTGCAGCAAGAGATGGCTGGGGGGGAGCCCTCTCTCCCTGCTGCAGCCCCAGGGCAGCCTGCACCCCAAACCCTTCATCCATGGCCCCACCCCATAGTCCACACCCCCAGATGGAGCCCTCATCCCCCCATACTCTCTGCCCCAGCCCTGAGCTCCGAACCCCTCAGCCCCAACCCCACCACACATCACCTCTATACTGGTGCACATAACAAAATTAATTCCGCACATGGATATAAAAAATTAGAGGGAACATTGGTCCAGGAGTTAACATCTGTTACTGTCTTGGTGAAATCTACTTATAGACACACCACCAGTTTGGGGTGTTGCCTTGTTTCTCACCATCTGCGCTGAGGTGGGCACTCAGAGCCATGAGCCACTCCAGACAGCGTGACAGGGATCATGAGATCAAATAGTTTGACCTTCTGTAAAACAGCTGCATAGAGCCTAATAACTTGAGTTTGATTTAAGCATCACTTCCAGAAAGGCATCAGGTCTAGACAGGAAGATTTCAAGAGATGCAGAATGCATCATTTTCCTGGCAGTTTGTTCTGATGGTTAATCACCCTCCCTGTTAAAAACCTGGGCCTTATTTCTGATGTGAATTTGTCTGGTTTCAGCTTCCAGCCATCGACTCTTGCTCTGCCTTCCTCCATTAGATTAAAGAGCCCTTTAGTAAGTGGTATGTTCTCCTGGTGAAGGAACTTATACACTGTAATCAAGTCACCTCTTGATCATTTTGATAAGCTAAACAGATTCAGCATCTGAAATCTCTCAATGTAAGGCTTTTATTAAAGCCATTAGATCACTTTTGTGGCTCTTCTCTGCTCCCTCTCCAATTTTTTCTGGATATCAGAACTGGACACAGTATTCCAGTATCTATCTCAGCAGTGCCATACACAACAGTAAAATTTAGTCCTCCCTCCTACTCACTGCTCCCCAGTTTATACATCCAAGGTTCACATTAGCCCGTTTTGCCACACATGGCACTGGGAGCTCATGTTCAGTTATTTATCCACTAGGACCCTACATCCCTTTCAGTCACTGCTTTCCATGATACAGTCTCCTTCAGACACCTGAGATGCAGCATTCTAACATTAGGGAAATCTTGCAATATCTCCAATATCTCTGGATGTGAGCTAAGTACTTTCTAATGGTGACCCTGGTAGGTAGTTACACAAGGGAAAGGGAGGCAGAGACAGTCAGGGAAAGATGATCCTTCAAGTATCATCTTAAACATCTGCCCCCTCCATTAAATCCCCTGGTAACACGGCTCACGAGCACTCACAGAACAGACCTGAGCAGAGAACTCCCGCATCCTCCTTGTGTCTGCAGTTGTGCTGGCCCCAGCCCCTGGAAGGACATGCCCAGAGATCGGATTCATTCCCAGAGCAGTTAACATCATCCAGCCAGATCTCCCCGGATCCTTGCCCGTAATGAGCAGAGACAGTTGCATCGATGGCATGTCCACATCCCAGTTGTTTGCAAACAACATTGGAGTCTGACAGATCCCAGGAATCATCACAGACTGTCCCCCAGCTGCCATTGTAATAAATCTCCACTCTCCCGGCACAGCGACCTGCCCCATTCACCAGTCTGATCCGCCGGCTCCCTGCAGGGATAGATCCCAGCTGTTAATATGTACTTTCTTACTGAACAGAAACTGTTTGTGAGATTTGGAAATGAATCACCTGAGCAAACGACCCCGACGTCCTCAGCATTTCCTGCCTTCGGTGTCTCAGATGTGGAGTTGTCACACAGAGTCAGATGAGTCTCATTTCCTGCACACTGGACCCTTCTCAGCCCCACAGGGCCTGTTCCTCGCTCAGACTTAGGGGGGTTATAAGCTTTCTCAGCAACTCCACACTGGAGCTGCCTGCACACCACGCTGGCATCGTCCATGTCCCACTGGTCATCCAGTACTCTGCTCCACACACCACGGAGGGAAATCTCAACTCTCCCGTCGCACCGGCTCTCTCCATTCAGCAGTCTGAGTGATTCAGAGCGACCTGGGCTCAGGAGAGATGGGAAAAACACTGAATAACACTCCCTGTTATACACTAGAAATAATACAGAGTGTGCATGAAATTATGGACTGTTTCTCAATAAGAAGATATAAGCCAGTGATCAGTGTGTCACAGTGTTAAAGGGAACAACCTCTGTCAGAAGAAACTTATTCTTTTGAATCTGTAAGTGGAAGGTGATATAACGATTGTAAAACTCTGAGCTTGACACAAGAGCTTGCCAACAGACTCTGTAAATGAATGAGAGAGGGAATTCCTGCAGATTACTGATTGGGAAAATAGTCTGTGTGTGTGATGGTGGAATGGCTGCTGAGGTTTGTAGTCACTTTATCCAGGCTTAAATGCCTGGAAGCCAGTGAATAGTGTCTGCACAAGCTCTTAGCAGGTGGGTTGTGAATGATTTAGGCAAGTTTGCCTTAAGGGAGTTTGGCCAACGGAAGAGCAGGGCTCATGGTGGTCAGGAACAGGTTATTGTTGGTAAATTCCCTTAGTTCCCTCTAATATTTGCTTGGTAGGTGGCAACTTTCTTCGTTCACCTGGGTCCAGTGCAGGAGCTCCCCTGAAGTGTGGTGTCATCTCTGAGCCCATCATGAGATTCCAGCTGATCAGTCCACACCACACTAAGCAGGTTATGTGTGGGGTGGGGAAGGGGACGTTCTCTGTCGGTGAATATTGTGACTTCCTTGGGATGTGAATCTCAGTCTTTGCATGTGTCTCAGAATCAGTGAGTCCTACAGGTGGTAAGTTAGGAATTACTCACCGAGTTCAGACCCAGGTGCAGCCAGGAGAGACTAACAATGTTAAAAGACAACAGCAGAGTCAGAGCAGGGGACACCCACTGACTGTGTCAGGTACAGTATGTACTAGTATGGCAACCTGACGGGTGCAGTGTGTGTGCACTGGATCCAAACAGCTCAAGGATCTTTGTAGCCAAATAACATTTCAAGGCTAAGAGTGAAATCCTGGCCCCACTGAAGGGAATGCTAAAACCTCCATTGACTTCAACGGAGACAGGAGTTCTCCCTAAGACTGGAGTCTGGAGCAGGAGAATGCCTGCATGTAGCTAGTGTAGTGCAGGGGTGTAGCCATGAGTTAGCATCCAGGCCCAGCCAAATCAGGGACGGAGCCCCACAAATCTGATATAGGTACCTATTAGCTCCCACCACCTGTCCAATTTTTCACATTTGCTATCTGGTTACCCTAAGCACGCCCCACAGCCTCTGTGGCTAGGGCATCTCAGCTTTGGATGCCTGCTGAGCGGGAAGGGCCGGCTGGAAGGGGTGGAGGGAAGAAAGCACCCCCTCCTGCCCCCTCACCAGGGCACTGGATCCCTCCTGCACCCTTCCCTCTGCCCCTCCCGTCATTGTCCACCCCCCAGAATTTGGGGCCCCTGTTTGAAATGGGCTATCCTGATTATCACTACAAAAGTTTTCTTTTCTCCTGCTGATAATAGCCCACCTTAATCGATTGGTCT